AAAAAAAGAACATACCAGTAGAATAGGCAAAGCTTGTAAGACTGTGTTCTGGTGTTTATTCTTGCTGCAAAACCCTAGGTTAACCTCTTTTCTTATTCACAGGCTAAAGGGTCAGATTCCTGAAATTAAGCAAACTTTAGAAATTCTGAAATACATGCAGAAGAAGAAAGTAAGTGCGTTTTTGTTTATAAATGTGAGTGAACCAGGATACTTCAGAGATGCGTTTTTCTTGACTCTGCTTTCTGCTATTTGATCTGTGCTGGGAGATCCAGTCAGCCTTCTCGACCACGTGTACTGATGTTATAGACAGTGCGCTTCCATGATAAATGTGCTTTTGTGTCTTCCTCCTCCAAACCATGTTTAATTCTAGGGCCCATACTTGCATTATTTTATTTCTGTGTACTATTCGCAAAACTTAAATGCAATTTGAAATTATTTTAGATAACGAAAAGAAGACGTCTTATTTTGCAGTAGCAGCGTCTAAGGTTTTTTGTTGTTACTGTTCTCCCTGAGAATAAGGAGGGAGTCCAAGACTTCTCGAGCTGGAAAGAATCTTAGAAATTATGTTTCAGATTCTCGGTTCACAGCTGAGCATACAGTTACAGAGAAGGTCTTACCCAGTGTCACATAGCTAGTTACTGGCAGAACTGGATTTGAGAATCTTCGGAGTCGTAATCCAGTACTCATTAGCTAAAAGAAATCTGTAAAAATTAAATTTCATAAGGATGTTGTTTTAAAAGGTTATATGTGTGGATATATGATGTATTACTTGACTGGTAGAATAACTGCATTTCCAGTACATTATTTTATGTTGGTGAACTTGGTAAGATTTCAGAACTGGTTGCTTGGGCATGAAGCACTGATTAAGTAAGAATAATAGCTAACCCTTGTGTAGTGCCTGCTCTGTACCAGGCACTGGTGTGTGTGTGTGTTCGCGTGTTCACGTGTTCATGTGTGTGTGTTCGCACGCACGCTCTGCTTGTGATGGCCTTCAGAGGTGTGGGGACTGTTATCCGTATTTTACACATGAGGAACCTGAGACACAGAGTGATATGCCAAATTTTTTTAAACTTGTTTTGTAACTCCAGTTTTTAACTGTAGTGACCTTTTTAAAAATACATATATTTTATTGATTTTTTACAGAGAGGAAGGAAGGGAGAGGGATACAGAGTTAGAAACATCGATGAGAGAGAAACATCGATCAGCCGCCTCCTGCACACTCCCCACTGGGGATGTGCCCGCAACCAAGGCACATGCCCTTGACCGGAATCGAACCTGGGACCTTTCAGTCCGCAGGCTGACGCTCTATCCACTGAGCCAAACGGATTAGGGCGATATGCCAAATTTACACAGGTAGTAGGCAGTTGAACCAGAATCCATGTCCAGCCATCTGGCTCCAGGCATTCATTTCTTTTACCACTATACTTAGTTTGCATGATGGTGCTGTTTTTTTTATTTTTATTTTTTTAAAATATATTTTTATTGATTTCAGAGAGGAAGGGAGAGGGAGAGATAGAACCATCAATGATGAGAGAGAATCATTGATTGGCTGCCTCCTGCACACCTCCTACTAGGGAGCAGGCCCACAACCTAACTGGGAATCAAACCGACCTACTGGTTCATAGGTTGATGCTCAACTACTGAGCCATACCGGCTGGGTACATGATGGTACTAGTTTAAATGGCTTAGGTTCAGCTGTGAGCTCTCTCCTTTATGACCTTGATATTAAACTGGCCTGCTTATAGTACTGTCATTTTTGTTGTTGTTGAAGGAATCCACCAATTCAATGGAAACCAGATTCTTACTGGCAGATAACCTGTACTGCAAAGCTTCAGTTCCTCCTACCGATAAAGTGTGTCTGTGGTTGGGGGTAAGTAAATATAATAGCCACAGCTTCATTGGCTGACATTGTTTTCCCTGCACAATAGTATTGTTTGAGCTACATAAATGCTTATCTCCTTTTGACTGTTGAAGGAAGGGGTGGGATTCAGGTGGTCCATATTAGAAATTGACCGAAATTAGGAGTGCGATGAAAATTGTTACAAAAACCTTCTCAAGTCTCTCTCAAACAAACACAACTGACCAAGCCCTACTTCCCTTCAGCTACTGCTTTATCTCTTATATGTAACTGAAGGCGGGGCAATGGAAGGAACTGTTGAACCTCAGATAAATGTTCCTTCCCAATAGGAGTTTATAAGTTCTAGAAAGATCTCTCTAAACTTGGTGGTGGTGGGGGGAAGATTATTATAAAAAAAAAACAACCTTGAGGTTGGAGTTCAGTTTTTAAACCATACACTTCAGCTTTAGATGATTTCATAGACCTTGCTTTGGTGTTTCCTTTATTACTCCTCTCAGTCCCCTAACCAAGCCATTCCTGACTGTCTAGCTCAGTGGTCGCCAACCTTTCGGACCTTACGGACCACCAGTGGTCCATGGACCACCGGTGGGTGACCACTGGTCTAGCTAGCCGTCCATAGGTCTTGTTATCGCAGGCAAGTTCCCATACAAAAACAGAAAGTCAAGTGTACTGCTCCCAGCTTTCCCCACTGAGGACTCCCCCTTGCTGCTGTTTTGTGGAATCACCCCTGAGAGAGACCTGTGAAAGGTGGACCGTTTAGTACACAGACACTCACCTCTCTAACCCTTAGTTCCTCCTCCTGGTAGTTGTTGATTGTAATATCTTCAGAGTTTGTGCACTTAATTCTGTACGATCGTTCCCATATTTGAGGTTTTTTTAAAATTATTAATTAAAGCTTTATTGTTCAGATTATTACATTTGTTCCTCTTTTTCCCCCCCATAACTCCCCTCCTCCCAGTTCCCGCCCCACCCTCCGCCCTCACTCCCCCCC